TTATTAGATTTCGATGAAATAAATATGCCAAAATATTCCAAATGGCTTTTAACTCTTGTGGCAAAACTTCTAATACGAAAAGCACATAACAGCTAAATTGTAGCACATAAGAACATTATTAAGTTTTTGTATAATTTGTTTTATTTTTACAAATTAGAAAAATAATGTTGATATTTGTCACAGACTTATTTTAAAAATTTCTTCATTAAATTTTTTATATTTACTTTCGTTATTTTGCTTATATTAAAGATGATAAAAATTCTATTTTTATCACAAATATATATGTAATTATTTATTAAGCATAAACAAATTGAAAGTCAAAGAATTATGTAACTATATATGCAATGGTACAAATACCATATAGAAGTATATATGAATGTTTATTCTTTATTTATAGGTACTGCTCTTAATTGATAAGGAAATATTTAATTTCCGAAATGAATATGAATATAAATTTTCCATGTTAAATATTATTTGCAGTAGAATTCGCGATACAATTGAAGAGAGAATATCACAAATCTCGCCACGCCTTGTATTTATCCCATAAATATTTTTCGAAAAAGATGTTGATAATTGTACAAATGACGTATCTTATTCAAATTCTTGCGACATAACATTAGATTAAATAAACAAAAAATATATAAAATAATATATATAGAAAAATAGCTGAGACAGATTGTATAATACAAGCATTGTAAAAGAGAAGATTATTAAATATTAGACAACTATTTTGTTTTTCAAGTTCAGGCTTATCTTCTAATTTCTTTTTATTTTTGACATAAGCAATTAGCTATAAAATCTTAGTAAACGGATTGTGCATTTTTGTGCACCCATAATAGATGATATATGTATGGTAATGTGTTAAATTTTCATTATATAAATAAATCATAGAAAAAAATGATGTTACAAAAAGATGTTCAAAATTACAATTCCTCTCGAAGGTTTGAATTCTTAAAATGACACTGACAAGAATGACTAGGTTGTGGTACTTCTTCCATGTTATTTAATACTTCAACTTTACTCTTTAAGCGTTTATTCCATTCCTGAAATATAAAAAATTGTATTATTTGACAAAGATATATATCCAAGAAAAATATATAAAACTTTTTCCCATACATGAAATAAAACTGTATAGTAACATAATATATCACGTGGTAATAAATTATCCCTGGTAAATTGTCTGGCAGATTTAACAATTCTCAATCCATCCTCATCATGCTCCTTTGCCCACATAATCTTTTCGACAAGATCCGATAGATCGCTTTTCACAGGTACATAATGTAATCCAGATGTAAGATCTTTATAAAAAAATTCATAATACTTGGATTCTTGCTTAAACACCAAAGAATCTCCAGCAAGTAAATATGGGAATCGATAAGCTGCTACTGTGCCATCAATATTCAATTGATATTTGTACTATGAAAAAAAATTAATATAAAAAAACTGCCAATGTGAATAAAATTTTATTTTTTTCTAATAATAAAAACGTTATTTAATGTTACATATTATCTATATTTTTTAAAGCTTGTATATAGCATAATTTCAAAGTTAACGTGTATCTTGAAGAATAAAAAATTTGATGATATCACAGAATGTGAATCAAATTTTATGGACAGACTTTGTGTTTATATCAGATGACACGAGATTGGGATAATGTAATTACAATATTATATAGTATATGTAACTTTGAAAATGTTCATTAAACTTGTTTTATTGTTAGCTTTATTTATTTACAGGAAGACTTTTTTATTTACCTTAAAAAAATTAAAAAATGACACATGATTTTGTGCAGGTCCGTATTTATCTATTTCATCCCTAAAGAAGAAGAAATTAGTAATGGACACATTAAACAGTTCTGGATGTTTTCTTGAAATATCTATTAAGTCAAGGCGTTCCCTTCTGGCATCACGTCCACGCCAAAATAATTGCTCAGTCTTATACTCCCATGGCAGTCCATTACCTTGTACGGAGAGTGTGTCTAACATTACCCTGTTTTTTTAGGCATATCATTGCAAATAAAACAACTAACTTAAATTATTAGCATTATTGAAGCATGTTATACCTTCCCATCGCTTCTAGAGATGATTCTGTGATATCGTATGTAGGCATAACAATATCTTTCGTACTTTCAGATCCGCACCATGAAAAAATAGGATAAAGCGATCCCGAATCAGGAACAAGTGGCCAGTCGCCTAAATTCACGAAGAATTCAATATCTGGCAGCATCACTTTGCGTGTAAGCGATAGCAATATAGCATCCATAAATATTTTGAAGCCAACATATTGGCCATAACATTGTCTGTAAATCTAGTTTAATCTAGAGTCAACATTTATAATAGTCAACAATCATAAATTATAAATCAGCATAAAATGATATTTACTCTGTTAGATTTTAATACATAATGACAAATGCTGACACTGGTTGGTCGATCATATCTTTTGATAATGTTTTGACGTATTTTATCAAAGTCAATATTTGAAAATGGAGACAAATCACGATGTATTTGAGTGTAATTTTGTTGACACTGATAATGATTCAACCAGTTAGTGATTGATGGATTCGGACAATAACATTCTTCCTCATAAACAGGACCTAAAGACAGTTTTTGTCAGATTATATAAAATTCTAAGATAAACGAAGATAAACAAAGATACTTATACCTTTGATGTCTGAAGGGGATACTAACAAGTCTTTTCCTTTGATTTTCACTTTAATTTTAACATTAAAACAGGTATTAAAAACTTTGTAGCGCATAATAAAACTTCCATCTTTGCAGTCAAAGATTTGAGTCCATATGCGGCATGATGCACCATTAAGGGATTGTCCATATACTTGCCCAGTGATTATATTCTCACCAGGAGATTTTGTTAAACTAGAAATATAATATAATATAATATAATATAATATAATATAATATAATATAAACTAGAAATATAATATAACATTATCCTACACATTATGCATTAAAT